TTTGTGGTTGTTTTGTGTCTCTTTGTGGTTGTTTTGTGTCTCTTTGTGTCTGTTTTGTGTCTCTGTGGTTGTTTTGTGTCTCTGTGGTTGTTTTGTGTCTCTTTGTGTCTGATTTGTGTCTCTTTGCAGCTGTTTTGTGTCTCCTTGTGGTTGTTTTGTGTCTCTTTGTGGTTGTTTTGTGTCTCTTTGCAGCTGTTTTGTGTCTCTTTGCGGCTGTTTTGTGTCTCTTTGTGGTTGTTTTGTGTCTCTTTGCGTCCGTTTTGTGTCTCTTTGTGGTTGTTTTGTGTCTCTTTGTGGTTGTTTTGTGTCTTTTTGTGGTTGTTTTGTGTCCCTTTGCTGTGTTTTTGTGTCTCTTTGTAGTTGCTTCGTGTCTCTTTCCAGTCTGGATGTTAAAGGTCAGAACATCTGGACCTGATGTTGACTTTCAGCGAACTGGCCGACTGACCTTTCTGTTGGCGGGCGTCCTGCCGCTGATCCTGCAGTAGGGGTTCTGCAGCATGTCGTCCTGCGCTCCTCTGCAGCTGCTGCCCACGTAGTCCCAGTACGGCCGGCTGCTGCCCAGAACGCCGGTGGACCGCGGCATCGTGATCTTCAGGAACACAATGAGCAGGAAGACGGGGATGGCGAGGGCGAGGATGAAGGAGTGGACGAGGCAGCGCAGGATGGAGGAGAAAACGGCGAGGATGAAGAGGCAGAGAGGACGGGTGAGGATGTGGAGGATGAGGCGGTTCTCGGTTCCCTCGCAGCCCTCCTGCAGATTTACAGAGATTCGAATAAAACACGGTGACAGAAGCCTGAACTGAGTGTTTATCTTGTATAGATGAACCTGACGCTCATTTTTCACCATTTCCTGACACCAAACAGCTGATCGGTTCATCCAGAAACTGATCAACTAATCATCAGTTGCAGCTCTACAATGAACCTTCACCAAAACAAACTCGACTGACCACCAAGCAGAGAGCTTTATGAATTAATCCTGTTGGTTTTAGCTCCAACTGAGTCGCCTCCAGCAGATTTTAGAATCAAGAAGATCAGCGTCATTCATAAACGTTCCCCACCTGGATGTAAATCTATAATTGAGTTTGGTTTGTTGAAAGTTTGTTAAAGATTCCGACTGTTTTCTGGACGAACCGATCAGCTGTGTGGTCTCAAAATGTGAAAACATGTGCATCAGTGTTTCCTAAAGTCCAAAATCTTCAGTTTACTGTCACTGAGGAGGAAAAGAAACCAGAAAACATTCTAATAAAGATGCTGAAATTGCAGAATTTACTGTTTTTATTGAAACAAAATCAAATAAAGTACATCTTTCTGTTGCAGTAAACACTGTCACATGCACACCTCCCCTGTTAGTCTGCAGCGTGAAGACAAACCTTGATGAGAGCTTTGACCATCTCAATGTCTTCATCCTTCATCCTCCTCATCACCACCTGGTCCAGCTCCAGCCTCACCATGTTCAGGCCTGCAGCTCCTCCGGCTCCACGCTCAGTCTGACGGGAACATCCACACGAGGAGCCTGGAGCAGGAGGGAGAGCATGGATGCATGGTTCTGCTGCATTACTGTGTTCTCTGAGGCTGCAGGAGGCTGCAGGAGGGAAACATGCCCCCACTCAGCGGAGGATTATGGAGGATTAGGTGATTGTTTCACTCAGACTAAACCCACATTTCAAAGCTTCCACACAATCAGACCTGCATCAGCTCCTTTAATGGTTCTGATCGGTGCTGTGGTGAAACGACACGTTTCGCCTCCAGCAGCTGCTCGGGTGCAGCAGCTCGTCTTACCTTCTGACGGCGCAGCTCAGGTCCGCCGGACAGATGGATTAAAAAAAAAAAAAAAAACAACCGCTGAGTGTGTTTTTCCTGCTGCTTTAAAGGTCCAGAGTTTGACTTAATGACCACACTGTCGATTCGTGCGCAAACAGCCCGATTCTGGAAGCGAATATGCCCGTTTTACGCTCCGTTACGCGCCTCCAGCGCGCCAAGCTGCGCCATCTGCGTACGCACGAAGCGCGCCGCGTAAACCCGACGTGGACACCAACGTAGCGGCGTCAGCAGCGTCAGGACATCTCCGAGAAGCTACAGCTGTTTATATCCACGAAAAATAAAAAACAAACCGATTTTTATTCCACCAGCAGGTTTCTTCTGGCTGGAAATGACAACACAAGACATCATGTTGGAGATGTTGATGATGAATTACTATTTCTGTTCCTTTCTGGATTGTTATTAAAACTATTAAGACCAAAACTGAAAATATTTCAAATTTTCGTGAAAGTTCAGCTTCTATCTTATTTCTAATCCACTGTGAAGTGATGCAGAGACTGTAAATGACAAAAACAAGCAACAAAAGACAACAAATCTTCATGTAGAGATATTAATGATTCATCTTTAGTAAAAATATCACATCCTAAAGGATTCATACTCCCTGAAACTGATTCAGTTTTGTGTGAAAATGCAGCTTCTGTCTGACTGCAGATGTTCCTGCTGGTTTCCACCGTGTTCTGTCACGTTCTGGTTCACTATAAAGAGACAACAGCTGACTAGTCTGTGAAGAGTCCCAAGAAACCTAAAATTATGCAAATTGATGCCAAATTTTCATTTAAAATGAGTTTTTGTTCCACCAGCAGGTTTCTTGTGGCTGAGAATGACACAGCAAGACATTGTATTGGAGATGCTGACAATGAGTGACTATTTCTATGTTCTTTTCTGGATTATTATTAAAAACACAATGACCAAAATTATTTTTTAAAAAAACAAAAATAAATAAATGGTTTCAGATTTTGGTGAAAGTGCAGCTTGTAGCTTGTTTCTAATCCACGATGAAGCGCTGCAGTGGTTCCTAGTCCAGGAAAATCCCCACAGCGGTTTCCGTTCTGGCTGTAAATGTAATAAACGAGCAACAAAAGACGATAAATCCTTATGTAGAGATGTCAATGACTCATTTTTAGTAAAAATTTCCTGCCCAAAAAGCTAGTACTCCTTGAAATTGTCTCGGAACAGTCCAGACTGATTCCTAGCACAGTGTTTTACTGACTCTTTTCTCTTGTTTATGTCATTTCCAGTCAGAAAAAAAACCCGTTGGTCAAACAAAAAGTCACTAAATTTAAATTTGACATGAGGAGGAATCATTTTGGAGCTTATATATGCTGTAAAGCGAAGCTCTGCTTACGGTTATTGTCATGTTTTGATCTTAAATTCAGACATCTGAAGCAGCAAAAACACCAGTTTTACTGACAACATCTGGACTTACACGACATTGTGTGTTTCGTTTATATCACAGTAGAACGACATAAAACAGGTGGTTTTAATTTGCATTTTGACATTTGAGGTGCAAGTTTTTATTACTGCTTTTAAAATCTTGATGGTAAATCTGTTCATATGATAAATTTCTCACCTGTTAATCTGCAGAAATGTGTGTTTTCAACTAAAAGAGACCCTTTCATTGCACATCTGGGAGAATTTCAGTGGTATTTATAACACTGGATGCGGCGTTTCTTGGCAAATATGTTTAAATATGTCAAAAGAAAAACATAGAAATTGTTCAAATTCATCATGAACATCAACAAAGTGTTTTAATGTGTTTATGTCTAAATAAAGCTGCTGACAGCAAAAAGAAGCAAAAAGACAAAAGGTATTAACAGGTTTATTAATAATTAGTTACTATTAACATTGTGAAGAAAGTCGGCCATGTACAACATTTATTCACAAAAAAACATAATTACTTCATAAACAAACTGCCGGAGACAGTATAATTTAAACTAATATATATTTTAGGAATATCGGAGGTCCGTGTGCAGCCGTCTGAATGTATAACATTTCATGGCTTTGCGACGACACACCGTCTACCTGCACGTTCTCTCAGCGTCCAGGAGAACTCAGCTGACTAAAGTGCTAACAAACCGCACACACACACGCACACACACGCACACACACACTCACGCGCCTCAGTTAGAGCATCTCTTTGCTGATAGGTCCGTTTCTGATGGTGTCTTCGCTCTGCAGCGCCTCAGCGTCCTCCTGCTCCTTCCTCTCCTTCGCCTCTGCTGCTTCGTACTTCACCTCCCCGCCCTGCGAGATCTCGGCCTCCCCTCCTCGCTCCACCCGTCCCTCCCTCAGGCTGCTGGTGCTCACCTCGATGATGACGATCTCGTCCCCGCTCTCCAGCTGAAATATTCCCTCCATGGCCGCCGCCGCCGCTCCACCCTCGGTGACGCCTCCACCGCCGCTCGCAGCGCTGCAGGCCGCCTCCTCCTCCCCCATCATCCCTCCCTCGCCTTCTATCAGAGCGATCATCTGCATCCCCTCCTCGGCCTCCTGCTCCATCTTGGCCTCCCCGCCCAGCTCGAACACCACCTCCTGCCCATCCAGGGGCACCAGGCTCTGGGTCGGAGCGCAGGAAAGCTGCAGGCTGCTGTCTCGGCCCTGGCTGAAGGCGGCGGCAGACGAAGCGCCGTCCTGCGTCTCGGTGTGGAAGTGCAGGACGTAGGACTCCCCCTGGCCTCCCTCCCCCCCGGCCATCCTCTCCCCCGGCTTCCCTCCGCCCCACTCGTGCAGCAGCGACATCATGCCTCCCTTATCTCCCCCCTTCTCCCCCTCACCTTCGCCATCTGTTTTGAACTGCAGCACCAGCGACTTTCTGTCCCCACCCATCCCTCCACCCGCTGCCTCCCCCGACGGATTCCCCTCGAACTGCAGCACATACGACTCCCCGCCCTCCCCCATCCTCACCCCCTCCTTCGCCTGGCCTTCATTATCGAAGCACAACACAAACTGCTTCCCCGTCATACTTTCCTCTGTCCTCATTTGCTCTGTGGAGGGGTGAGGCCTGCTCTCTGGGGCGGGTGCCGTGGTAACACTGGGTGGGGGTCCTGAGGTGTCCACTGTGGGGGCTGCGGTGCTGGAGGGGGGGACAGTTGTTGTGGAAACGGGAGGAGGCAGCGGTGACTCTGTGGTCGCTACGGTAACGTGGCCGTTTGTAACCGGCGGAGTCGAAGGTTTCTGAAGCGCAGCTTTGGGTTTTCGTCCCCGGCGGCCCCGAGCCGTCCTCGTGCTCTTCCCCAGGATGGGCTTGTTGAGCAGGTAGCTGGTGGAGAGGTTGTGTGTCGCCGTGGCAACAGGAGTGTGTGTGTTGTTGTTGTTGGTGATGATGATCCTGGTCTGCTGCTGCTGCTGCTGCTGCTGGGACACGGATGGAAACTGGGCCATCTGAGGCTGCGCTTGGTTCAGGACGGGCTGGAATGTCTGGATGGTCTGCAGGACGGGGAGGCTCTGCGGCTCCGGAGCCGCCGGAGGGTTGTTGGCCGTCGGCAGCAGAATCAGGCTGGACTGGCTGCCGTTGTTGGCGGGACACTGCAGGAGGAGGAAGTTCTGCGAGGGAGGCGGCGGCGGCGGGGGAGGCGGAGGAGCCGGCGTCGGGGACGACAGCGGGATGAGCTGCAGGCCGCTGGCCGTCTGGATCATGAAGTAGTTCTGGGAGGTGTTGGGGGGAATATTGAGCGCCGGCTGGGACACAATCAGGCTGCCGCTGCTTCCTGAGGCTTCCAGGGTGATGGGGTTGAGCAGGGTGGTGGTGGTGGTCACCCCTCCCACGCTGGCCTTCACCGAAACGCCATCTTTGCCTCCGCCGCCACCGCCGGGGCTCGGCAGGGAGACGCCGCTGCCGTGGGTCCGGATGTGCCTCTGCAGGTACGAGTGCATGACGAACTCCTTGGAGCAGTACGGACACTTGTAGTCTTTGCGCGAGGAGTGTGTGCGCAGGTGGAGCTGCAGGTTGGAGGAGTGCGTGAAGCTCTTGCTGCAGTGTGTGCACTGGAAGGGCCTCTCTCCTGAATGGGTCCGCTCGTGCTGCTCGCCGGGAAAGACAAACAAGAACAAGTTAGGAAAACTGTTTTGTTTTTGTTTTTTTTACGTCCTCAGGGTGAGTTGAGTCTGCAGCTGCTCTGACCTGCTTCAGGTTGGACGTCTGGGAGAAGGACTTGGAGCAGATGGAGCAGGTGTGAGGCCGCAGACCCGAGTGCATCTGGCTGTGCCTTCGCAGGCAGCTGGTGTTCTTGAAGGACTTTCCGCATTCTTTGCAGACGTACGGCCGCTCGCCGGTGTGCTGCCGCAGGTGGTACTGGTAGTGAGAGCTCCACTTGAAGGTGAGAGGACAGTGAGGGCACTGGAAGGCCCGGACGCCTGTGTGCACCTGGTGGGGTGTGGATGGAAAAAACACATTACTCTCCACCTTATGTTGGAGTCATCCTCAGAACCCCAACACGCACCCATGGGCTTAAAACAGGAATCATCTCTACAGTAAATCCCCTAAATGACATCATTTATAGTTGAAAACTGTTTAAAATACAGTCCTTGTACTAATCACGTGTGACGTACGGGTTCTGAACCAAATCTGAGCTTCAAAAACCTCCTTATTCAACATCATTTAAAAATCCACCAAAAATGAAAGCGTCTGCAGCAGATCCACCGTGTTGAATGTATCCTCAAACAACTTCCTCCTCTGTTTACTGTTTCTGAGCCATGCTGCTTTGATTTTATTCATCATATGTTAGATTTTCCTTTCTCTGTGGACACACTGCCTGCAGTTCACCTGAAACACCGAAGCAGAGGATCAGCTGGAAGCAGGAGGGAAGAAGTTTAATTTTTGCCAATTTTCTCAACAAAGGATGTTGAATAATTTGATTAAACGTCACGATTTTAACCTAAACTTGGTGAATTTCCCCAACAACAGACCTGATTAGTCCACAAACTGTCTGAAAGTTGAACCTCTGATGAGTCCCTCTTTGTTTACGGTGTCTGGCTGATAAATGGTGTCATCTTGGCGACTTTTTAGAAAAACATGACAGGCCTTTAAAACCCGGCGGTGGGTTTTGGGGTTCAGAGGGTTAAACGTGTGGTTCAGAACAGGATTTTTACCCTCTGGTGGATGGAGAGCAGCGAGGATCTCTTGAAGCTCTTCCCACACTCGGTGCAGCGGTAGGGCCTTTCCCCAGTGTGATCCCTCATGTGGTACTTCAGCCCCGACGAACCTTTGAAGGCTTTTCCGCACTCGGGGCAGCGGTATGGCCTCTCTGAGAGGGAAAGACGCAGTTTATCAAGTCTGCAGATCCAGCGTAGTAAGAAAACAAGCTGAAGTCGAGAAGCTCGGTCGATGTGAATGTGCTGTTACCCCAGCAGGTGTGGAAGCACAAAAACATGAAAAACCTTCTGGTTCTGGCTCAAAGCTGAGCCCAGAACTATTCATCCACATGTCAAGTTAGATTTATAGTCAGTTCTTATTTGACCAGCAGGTTTCTTATGGCTGGAAATGACACAAACAAGAGACAAAAGACAGTCAAACATTGAGTTTTATCAATTTTAAGATATTTTTATGTTTAGTTTTACAAAAAGCCTGATGGCCTCTTTGAGACGACGACTGAGAGATGCTCTGAATGATTTTCTCTCTGGTTGAAGCCATGACTTGCTAATGACCAGCAACTGACAAGGAATCAGATGTTCTCACCTTGTAGTGTGTTAGAACGCTGCAGAACATGTGCAAGTAAAATAATAAAACAACAACAATAGTAACATAGAAACAGCTCAAATGTTTGACAAACATCTCAAGTTTTCTCGCTTGTTTATGTAATTTCCAGCCAGAAGAAACCTGTTGGTGAAATACTAAACTCATGAGCAGGAACCATGCGGCGGCTGACTGAAAACGTCCTCACCTCCAGCAGCGGCGCTCTTGCTGGGTCCCGTCTTCTTGTGAGCTTTGCTGACTTTGACCGGCTGCTCCTCCTGCTCCTCCCCGACGGCGATGATGTCCACGTGGATCTCCCGCTGGCCCTCCTGCTGCTTGTCGGCCCGGCTGGGAGACGAGGGCAGCGGCAGCGACAGGGAGAGCGACGGCGGACACACGATCTCGGCCTCGGCCTCGGCCAGCAGCCGCTGCTCGGGGGTGTGGGAGTGCTGGTGGGTGAGGAGGGAGGAGAGCAGGGGGAAGGAGCGGTCGCAGGCCGAGCAGCTGAACTGGGAGCGGGACTGCGACGACAGGGAGTGCATCTAGACGAACAGAAGACGGGACAAGAAACATGTTTTCAAGATGGACAAACTGCTGGCGGTCATTAGGGCTGGAGATGAGCTGCATGCACATGCATAAGTGGCTCAGGTGGTGCAGCAGGTTTTCCACTAAAAGTCTGACGTTCAATCCCCTGCAGCTCCACACCATGCACGGCCTCCACTGGTGTGTGAATGGATGAATGAGAAACTACAGTCGTGACTCGATGATCTGACACGAAATGTAAAACCTTCTTTTATGTCGGATATCAAGGCTGTCGGATTGTCCAGACGGAGGTCCAGATACGAGGAGGGCTTGATGCTGGAAGGCTCATTAGTTGTTCATTATTGTTCATAGTTGTTATAATAACTAGTAGGTCTGGTCCCAATAGAACTTTCTGCTCTCTGGATGTTCAGGCCCAATTAATGATGAATATCAGAATATCCGGTGCGTTCGGGGGACACTTCCACCCCGGGGCAGCGCTCTGACGGGGTGGAAGTGTCCAGAACACACAGGCAGTACGTGGCTGCTGATGCTAGTTTAATTAGCGCTCACACTTCTGTTTCCTCCATCGGTGGCGGTGGGGGAGTGGCAGATACGCTCCACCGTTACCATCCATGTTTACTTCCATAAACACTGAGCACGCTCGCTGCGTGTGACGTCGTCGTGTCCTCTTCTGCGCATGCGGGACACTTTTGGGTCGTATGAAGTTCACACAGCAGATCACATACAAGTCGCATTGAACTGGAAACGTGAAGGAAGTCACAAAGAAATCCTCATTGAGCATCAAGTCCTGCAGTGTGAACGTAGCCAATCTGTGGGATTGTTCAGTCAGATAATACGCCGTCATCCTGATTGGTGACATTAAATGTCATGTCGGAGTCACAATCCAAGGCTGTCGCTATGTTAAGGCTGTTTTTATGGCTTCTGTTGGTTTCTCCTAAAAACCTGTCGGATAGCAGGTTCTGGATTGTTAAGAGATTGTCGAGTCACGACTGTAGTTATTAAGGCAGTAAAGTGCTAAACAAGTGGAGGCTGTTTACACAAACATCACATCATGCAAAAACCTTCTTTTCGCTGCTTGACACAAAAACAAACTGTTCTCATTGTGCATTAATCTACAAGAGGATCCTGTTTGATGCAACATAATTTCTCCTGATTTAAGGTTTCTTAGAGAGTATTTTAGAGTTTGTTGCCTTGCAGGCTCCTCTACAGTGAAGTGAGCAGGACTGTGAATCTGAAGCAAAGCAAACATTTGATTTTGGATGCTAAAGTTTCAGCACCTGAGAAAAAATCAGAGACCAAATCAGCCTCCATCATTCGAGGGTGATTCATTCGTTCCAAATTGAGCTTTCAAGTCATCTATTGAAAATCCCTGCATTTTTTTTCATATTGCGGAAAAGCTAAATATTGCACTTTTTCGTTTGTTCCGACACTGTGCAGCCCCGGTCCGGTGCATTAATGTGTCTCACAGTGTCAGCGAGCAGAGCAGCTCCAGCGGTCGTCCTCACCAGCGACACATGTCTGTTGAGGCCTCCGCTGGTCTTGAAGGTCTTATTGCAGTAGCCACATGACAGCCCTGCCCATGTGGTTCTGGCCTCTGGCTGGGCGGCCTCAGAGCTCTGAGTCACCTCGGTGAAGCTCTGCAGCAGGTCAAACTGGGCCTGGGTGGTGCCGACATTCTGAGGACAGACCAGAGGAAGTAATACATATCAAAAACATGCATCTTCAAACTGAACCCGCTGACTTCACCGCGCTGGACTTCTGCAGGTCAATTAGACTGAGACTCTGCAGACAGAGGACGGTTTGCTTTGATGCCGACGGATGAATCACACAACTGTGCTGTTTCACTACAGTTCTTGTGTTCATGTTGTGTTTGCTATGAAGTGAGGAGATCCGTAGTGAACGCTCCTTTGCACAAACATCGTCTTCAGTCTGCAGCACAAACCTCTGGAAGCTTCTGTGAGGAGCAGCTGACTTAAAGTTAGCCACAAAAGTCCTCAAAAACTGAGTGACCGAGCAAGAAGGAGACTCGTGAGGGAGGCCACCAAGACACCTATGACTCCTCTGAAGGAACTTCAGCAGCTGAGATGAGAGAGACTGTTCATACAACTGTTGTCTGTTCTTCACCATCAAAGCTTTATGGGAGACAAAGAGAAAGAATTTGCTGGAAAAAGCTGATATTAAATCTGGACCAGAGGTCACCAGAAGACATGTGGAGACTCTGAAGTCACCTGGAAGAAGGTTGCTTAGCCTGATGAAATGGAAACCCTCCTCACCATGAAGCACTGTGGTGGCAGCATCATCAAACTTTGTATGGACACTGCATGTCGTGAAACGGGGCTGGATAAATAAAATTAACCGAAGTGGTTTTCCTGCATCTATTCATTTGATTCCATCACTTACTGCGTTGCTGCTGTCGGTTCCCTCCGTCAGTCCCAGCAGCACCTCTGTTGTGTGTCCCCCCTCAGCCACCGTAGTCGTCTCCACCACCTCCTCGAAGTCGGCCAGCAGGTGTCCAGCTCCCACCAGGCCGTCCCCGACCTCCATCCCGGCTCCATGACCCGCCTCTCCACCGGCACCGTGCTCCCCCGGAGCCATGTGGATGGACTGGTGCTCCTCCAGGTCCGTCCTGGTGCTGAATGTGTGGCTGCAGCTGCCGCAGCTGTACAGCAGCACGCTGGCGCCGGTGTCGGTGCTCAGGTGGACTTCCGTCCCGATGGCCCTGGACGTGCACACGTCCTCCCCAGAGGGGGCGAGGGTGAGCTGGGGGAGGAGGCCCTGAGTCTGGCCGGAGGAGGTGGTGGACAGGAACACCTCCTCCATCCCTACGCCAACTCCATCGGCTCCCTCCTGGCTCACAAAGCCCACCATGTCCGTCAGCATGGAGGACGTGACCTCCTCGGCGCCAACCACCACCTCCACCACGTCGCTCCCCTTCCTCCCGTCCTCGGCCCTCTTCGCCTCCTTCCCGGCGGCGCTCAGGTTGGCGTGCGAGTTCTTGTGCAGCGCCAGGTTGGACGAATGCGTGAAGCTGCGTCCGCACTCGCTGCAGATGTAGGGCCGCTCGCCGGTGTGGATCCTCATGTGCTGCCGCAGGTTGGTGGACTGAGTGAAGGACTTGTTGCACACCGAGCAGGTGTAGGGCTTCAGGCCCAGGTGCACATTCTTGTGTCGCCGTAGGCTGCTGGAGTTCTTGAAGGCCTTGGGGCAGGTGTCGCAGGGGTACGGGCACTCGCCGGTGTGCTGCCTCAGGTGGTACTGGTAGTGGGAGCTCCATTTGAAGGTCAGGGGGCAGTAGGGGCACAGGAAGGTCCGAACGCCGGTGTGGACGCTCTGATGGACCTGAGGATGGACAGAGGCAGGAAACTCTGAGTTTAACTGGCAGTACTCCAGATTAACTTCTTACACTGGCTGCACTGGTGCATCAAAAGTTTTGTTTCTGCTCAACTCAATATATAAAAATAAATCACAAAACTTACTGCAACTTATAAAATATGTTGGTTTTTATTATTTCTGTCCAACCTGCTGTAACATTTCAACAAAATACATTTAGTTTACATCATTAATGAGACGGTGGAAGCATGAGGGACAGTTACAAAGCAGTTTTCTGCAGTAATCTCAACACTGTCCCTGTGCATAGTTCAGGTTCGCAGACATAACGACACTCCAGACTGACTTTTATAAGGGATTTATGTACTTGTACCTGGCAGACACACACAGACGGATCTGCCAAACATCCGCAATGAAAAGGTTCAGTTACACCTGACGCTGACTTCTCACCTGGAGCAGAGACGAGCGTTTGAAGGCTTTTCCACAGTCCTGACATTTATAAGGCTTCTCCCCTGAGTGAGACCTGCAACACAACATCCGGCATTAAAAACCAGGAAACACTCCGCAATACTTTCCTCATTTCACACCGAGTGCAGCTGGACCACTGGAAGGAATCAATTATGAATTTCACACAGTAATTTGCTATTTTAACGCGTTTTTTTTTCTGTTTCTGTTGACCCGAATGTGTCCAGATTGAACGGATTAGCGAGGGAGGTGGACGGAAACTAAAGCCCGTATGACAGATAAATTCAGGCATGCGCTTCGTGTTTCTGTGCGATCCGCTGGAAAACTCTGCGTTCACAAGTTTCACCTTGTGAAGCTGTTGAGCAGAAACACTGAGGCGCTGTGTTGGAAAATGATTCATTATCCGAGCGACGTGCCATCAGCTTGTTTTGTAAAACACAGCGCTGAAACCCGGAGGAATGTAGACATACAACATGAAACGAAACCAAAAAAATCCCGAAATCCATAATTACATCACCGCAAATTACATAAGGAATGACATCATGAAAACACCAAGCACACAGCAGGAGGATCTGGAGGCTCAAGGCAAAGAAATCCTCCAAAATTCACCCGTACAAGGTCCTGACTCTGATATTAAACCATCTTAAAACATACAATTTGTGATTATTCTGCTCAATACTTACTTATTACAGCACTAAAAATTCACATTGTGCCCATCTACTGTCGAATCTTTGCCAAACAGAGGAATTAAAATGTAGACAAACTCCTTCTACTTGTCATTAAACTTTTCAGCATTAATCCTCCAGTGCTGATTGGCTGTTACTCGTTTAGTGTAACCAATCAGAGAGAGCTCTGGATGGGACATTAGGGCTCAAAGTTAGAATTATTTTCATTGTTTGGTCTCTAAAATGTCAGAAAATGGTGAAAAATGTGCATCAGAGTTTCCTCAGATGTCTTTTTTGGTCCAAAGATGTTCAGTTTAGTGTCACAGAGGAGGAAAGAAACCAGAAAATAAGCTGCAATCACAGAATTTAAACCGAAAATTAGATGAAAAATGTTAAACCTCAGATCCGACATCTGGTTCATCTGTGATATACGTTGCTGTTTTTCTGTAGATGACTCGAATAATTCAATTTTAAAAGAATGAACCATTCTTCAGTGATCAGACGGAGCGATTACAGCGGAGCTCATCTGCATCCAAACTAAAATTTGATTTAAAAAAGCTGAAAAAAGTAATTTAAACACTGCAGACAGAGAACCTGTTTTTATTAAACACCATCCTTTCTGGAGATGAATTATTTCAGAGCATTATTTTAAAGTTTCTCTGCTGTTCCTGCAGCTCAACGAACTCTGTTCAATAAAGTTCTGTTCTATCAGACAGACTGGGCACAGAGAAGCCTCCAGTCTCCATCAAACCAAACGTTGGTTTGAGTCAAATAAGGAGCTGTGATGTCAGATTTACCTGAAACCAGGTGAGTTTATCTACATTTCTCTGAGCACAACACATACTTCAACATTAATATCACAGTCGCTCATGTTCATTTAATCATCTGAATTGTTATTCCATTAAGTGTGCAGCTCTAGAACGGATGTGCTTCAGACGAGAGAATGTTTTGATATCAAGCAGCTAAAAAACTTTTGGTGTTTGAGTTAATTCGTCGTGCTGAATCGATGTGTCACGCAGCCTGGTTGCAGCACAAAGACGAACTGAATGCGTACCGTTGGTGGTAGAGCAGAGCCGAGGAGCCTTTGAAGGCCTTGGGGCACAGGTTGCAGCGGTACGGTCTCTCGTTGTTGTGGCTCCGCAGGTGATGCGTCAACCTGGACGACCACCTGAAGCTCTTCCCGCAGTCCAGACACTGGAAGGGGTGGTCGGACTGCTCGGGCTGCTGTGCCGGCGCCGACACCATGTCCAGGACCACCTCCTCCCCGCCCTCGGCAACGCCCTTGTCCGCCTCCACCAGCTCCCCTCGCTCCCGCTCGTCCTCGCCGTCCTCCGCCGAGCCGAGTAGCGACGGGAACGGAGACAGCGAGGCGGCGGACTGAGGGGGGAGGAGCTCCGCCTGGACCACTAGGGCCACCGAGTTGGCCATCGCCGAGGTGAAGGTTGGAAGCAGGTCAGGATCAGTTCTGGTGTTTTCTCATGGCTGGTGCTCCATCACTCCTCCGTTCATGTCTTCGTCTGTAAATTCTTTCTCCTGGAAACTCCAGCTGGCATCCCAGGAAGCAATATTAGATCTGACATGAAACAAAAATGGACATAAAACCAGTGTTAGGAGCAGAATCCTCCACACAGACAGTAATGAAGCATTGAATACAGAAACTTCTTTTCTTCTGGCAGAACGGTTTTGCAGAACCATTTTTCTGCAGCTTTTGTTCCCATTGGAACGCATTTTAACGTCACAACCAGCCAACATTCAACCACAGACAACAACCAGAAAGTGCTGTAAGAGGTGCACAGACCGAGTAAAAACGTTTCTCTGTGAGTGAAGTGTTTTTGTGATGGTTAATATGTGAGTAACTCGGGTCCAGCTGTGGGTTTAGTCGAAGCTTTTGCAGATTTTTAATTCCATGAAAACAAAAAACCTGACGATGGGTTTAAAACGCATGTTAGCAATAAAAAAACAGAACAAAACAGAATCAGAGAACTATTTTCCAACCAAATCGAAGCTTAAAAACACGACATGTTGTTAACTTTATTCTACGTGTATTATTTTAAACTTTGTCAAAAAAAATGTAATGTTTACATCAGATTCTATATTATTAGAATTGTTTATTATTATATTAAAGCTAACACACATTTCAAACAGACACACCACCAGCTAACTGCAACACGTATTTTTGAATATTTTGTAGGATTTGATGCCAAAAAATGTGAATTTTTTAATTGAATGTAATTTTTAATTTTAATTGTTTTCTATTCACACCTCACCTAGGAGCTAAAGGGAGGCTTTTCTTGTACTGTGACCACATTAGCTGCTACCGAGACGATGCCAAACAAAATTTTGTTGTATTTTTTTGTACAATGACAATAAAGCTTCTTCTTCTTCTTCTTCTTCTGAGACACACAGAATAAAGTAGATTTTGTAAATGATCGGGATGAACAAGCACAACTTAAGCAGCGGTTCCACAATTTTAATGAGTTTAAGGTTACATAAAAAAGACGATTACGTTGTTTATGAGTTCTCACGTTCTTTATCTTTAATAATTCCTAAAATTCCTCAAATTTAAATGTCAACATGACATAAAAACCTACAGGAAGTGGGTCCACGGGTAGTTTTTAAGAACAATTTGACTTAGAAAGTATTTTATATCTTAACCTAAAATTTAACAAACACCTTTAGAAATGTTCGTAGTTTATGCTAGAAAAAAAATCAGGTAAATCAGAGATGATGGAGGAAATATTTATGCATAAATTTGATGATTTGAGATTTAAAAAAAATAAATAAATAACAGGGAAATATCTATTTTTCTACACACACTAGAATACATGTTATTATCTTAGTCGTTCTATTTATGTACAATCTCTGCAATAAAAATATTTGTGATGATCCGAGCAACACCTCTAATATGTGCAATAATGTTATTTCTACAGAACCAGGACTTGTGTTTATTTTGATTTATTTTTATTATTATACTTTATTAAATGTTTGCCCTGTCTTTGCTGCTGTAACATCGCACATGTCTCCACTATGTGATTAATAAAAAGGTTTATCTGATCTTTACAAAAATGTAATAAAAATCTGCCGAGATGTGTGAAATGAACCCAGACCGGAAGTCGTCCCCCCCGGTGTAACTGCTGTCTGAGCCCCCGGTAAACAGCGCCTCGCTCCGCCACTGCTCCTCCCTCCTCCCGCTGCCTCTGCTCCGCTCCGCTCCGGTTCGGCTCGGTCCCGCAATGCGGAGCTCCGCTACAAGTATAACACACATTACTGGACTTTAGCGGAGTCCCGGGTGAACCTGGAGCCCGCAGGCCTCCGCACAGTCTCTCTGTCAGGCTCCACTCTGGCAGTTGTCGGCCTCCTTTGCGGAGCCCGGAGCCCGGAGCGGCTCGCTAAGCCGCCCGGGGAGGAGGTGCATGATCCCGGGCTGCAGCAGTACTCACCCCGGTGCCTCGCCTCCTCCTGCAGCCCGCTGCGGGTCTCATGAACTCAAAGCGGTACCGCAGTGCTGATCCACACAACCTTAACAATAAACACAGCGCAAACTAACAGCAGCTCTCCGCCCGATGCCGCCTCCCAACAACGGGCGCGCTGATTGGCTGCCTGCCGCAGTAGACGGGACGCTCCCATTGGTCCGCCGCGGCAACAGACAGACGCTAAACTTCACCCGTAAATATTCACAGCACACGTTCAACCAAAAGAGCCTGTTAGCGATATAAATATACACACTACAGTAGATTAAAAACTATTTATGGAGCTTTATTCACAAATAATTAGAAGCCCTTTGAGTCTGACTCCACCGCACAGACTTCTGGGTAACGTAGTCTGCCGTCAGTCAGTTCCCAGAACAGCCAGTGGCAAATTAAACTGCAAATTAAAAAATCAATTTACTGTTATTTTACAGATTTTACCCTGCTTTGTTCAAATACAGATTTATCTGTCAGCCTAACAAAATGCTTATTTTTACCATGTGAACTATAAAAAACAAACAAAAAACAAACAAAAAAAGAGTCCAAAACCATCAATGTGCACAAAAAAGTCAATTTTTCTTACAACTAGCGATTCATTCTTCTACAACATTTGACTGGATAATTTCACTGTTTTAACTGGACTTAAATCAGAAAAAGAATCACTGTTAACTTACAGATATTTGACATTCTTTGCAGATTTTCCCGTTTTGTTAAATTAGACAAAATGTCTAGAATCTAGTAAAATCACTAAAAATAGTAATAATTCACACATTAACAAAGAAAAATAAAAAATGTAAATAATGTTCACAAATAGGTTTTGTTTATTGTTGTTGTTGTTGTTGTTTTTTTACAATGTGTGACTGTGAAACGTTTTGCTGTATTTACATGAGCAAAAATGTCATTATTTTACAGAGTTTTGCTGTTATTTGAAAGAGAATTTATTTACATTAGGATTTAAAAGCGGTTAAATTTTAACTGTTATTTTACAGTTTTTTTTTTATTTATTTTTTTACAGGTATTAATTTACATGTGAACCTTAAAAAAAGTCATGCCTTTTTTAAAGCACAGTAAAGTTTAAGATTTTAATTAATAGTTTAAAAAAAAACAACACTTATTTACCATTTTTCAATCCTTAATATATATCTTTTTCTTTTAAATACTGGCAAATATCTGTAAAATTATGTTTTTAAATGATTTAATTACAGTTAAACAAAAAAAAAACTGTAATTTTGTGGTAAAACTTTGCATTTAAATGATCAATAATAATCATTTATTAAAATAAATAAAATAAAATAACAGATTTTTGACAGGGACATTTATATTTTCAGTTTTGGCCTGTTTTGTTGTTTGTTGTTTGTTTGTTTTTGGTTTTTGTTTGTTTTTTTAGAAGTAACATGTACTAAAAAATTGCATTTTGTTTGTGATTTTATTAGTTATTATTTGTTATTTAACCAAACACTGAAAGTCTGTAAAATAACAGTAAATTGTATAAAAAAAATCACAGTAAAAATATTTTGAAATGATAATAAAGAAAACAAGTGCAGCGCAGACATGAAAGATGAAGTCCGATCCACTGTGCACATTCTTTAGTATTTATTTCACCAAGGCACATATTTCACATTGAGGCCAATCAGTGTGTGGAAGAGGCATCTTGATGGTACAACAATAATTTAAACGTGATGGTATTATAATAATTATAATTATAATAATAATAGTGAATAAGAATAAAAACTGTATAAAAGTACAAAAAGACAGGAGACTTGCTCCGCTGCAGCACAAAATAAATAGTTCCACCGAGTTACTTAAATAAATAGTCAATACTGTAACAAATACTAGGATAGGGAACGAACAAAACTGATAGTGATAAAATAGGTAAAGAAATCTATTATTATATTGTAGAAAACAACATAATACACAAAAGCACTGTATACAACAATTTACATTCTTGTACATTTATGTACACCTGTACAGGACATCGTGTCACAATACATAGTATTTTAAGGCTTTGGGTGTTTAACTAAAAATAAAAGACTTTTCTAGCCCAAAGTTCAAAATCAGCCGTCTCGCTCGTCCAAGAGGCTAATCCCAACGAGTTTGTGCAAAGAATCTAATCAGGACCATCAGTGCTCGGAAACGGGGCACATTCATACAACTTTACCACAACGTTAAATAGGCTGCGACACAACAGACAGGATTCACTGCTCGTCGACAGTCAATCCGCTCACCGCACTACAAATGTCTAAGGGCACTGAGAGTGAAGCCTTGGCTGTCCCTAACGGTTTGCTACATCTACTGGAAGAATTATCGGCTGCAGAGACACACAAAGTAAATTCAGTTTAAAGTCAGTATCAGAGCTGCGGGTTCGTGAAGTGCTACCGAGTTTTACTTTTCAGTGAGACACAAGAAGAAGAAGGAGGAGGAGAGGAAAGACTACAGAGACGTGGGCAAGTCAAATTCACGTTAGTACAGAAATAAAAGAGGAGAGTGACACATTACAACTTCAAATAAATAAAATTAAATAAATTACTAACAGTCAATAAATAAATAAATACATAAATAACATGAACAAGGCCTTTAGGAGGGGGTTTGGGGTGGATGGATGAAAGCTGGCTGCGTTTTTCTGTCGGCCCTGGTGGACTTTCTTCAGCAGGCTGGTGGACGTCAGGCCTCCAGCAGGATGCCGCTGACCTCAGTGCACGCCCACACGGTCCACTTCCTGCTCTGACCGAGGCAGAACTCCACGTACACTGTCGCCGGTTCTGCAGCCGCCCCGCCGCCCAGGTCATCATTGCACGGCGGACACTTTGGGCTTGAGGCTCATGAACGCCCGGTAGGCCCAGTCGCAGAAGAGCTTGAAGTGCTGCAGCAGCTCGTGGCTCGACTGCAGCACGTCGAACTGGTAGGGCAGGTGGGGCGGCAGGGACGGGGTGGCCGGGGTCAGCCGGGGAGCCTCCACCCGCTGCATCTGTGGAGCACCAAGCAGACGGATCAGAAACCAAGGCGCTGACTTCTTCTTTAACCCACGTTGACAAGTTAGCTGGTGAACTAATCCTCTAAAATAAACTAAATCGTCAAAATCACATCTTATTTAAACATTTGCCAAAAAATAAACTGTTTCCTAAAACGAGATCCTGTAAAAAACAGAAAATTCTGCACTTCTCGGCACAACCGGGAAGCCATGATTCGCTCAGCTGTGACCAACAGGTGCTTTGCAAAAATTCAGGAATTTTAGGGAGACAAAGTAAAATAAGAAACGTTAAATATCTACAGTAAGTGGAGCCTCCATGTTTTCTAATGTTGGTGTTTCCATCAGTCTGACTGTCTCCTACTGACAGAAGATATTCTCTCTCCTTTTTCATCCGTTTCCACAGAGCTCCAGGACTTTATATACCAGAGAAAAACTGTAAGGAAGCGTGGGACAGGCTCTGCAGATAATGAAATCAGGATCATGGTCAGTGTTGATTCTTACTGCCAGTGATGACCCAGATCTGTTTTCCAGAAATTAGCTGGAATCAACATCTATTATTCAGCTATTTGCATTTGTACTTCGTTTCCAGCCGCGTGTCCGCTCTGCTCGGCCTGTTTTTTTGTCACATAACCGTCGGCTGTAGCTGAGTCAAGTGACACACGTAGAATAAAGCGATTTTAAAGGCTGAGATTTGGTTGATTTTCCACACAAAACGGCCCATCGACCGGGATCGGCCCGCCGGCTTGTTGGAAAGTTGAACATCTTTGTGTTTGTACAGTTTCTGGCTGATAAATGGGTCATTTCTTTTTAAGATGACATGTGTTTCCAACCTGCTGGTGGATTTGGGGGGTTCAGAGGGTTCATGAGCTGGTTCCTCAGTTGGTGATGTGGCTTTGAGGAACCGTTTAAGAACGACGTTAAACGGTGAACACGGCTGGTGTTTACCTGACGGTGCAGCAGGTTGATGAGAGACTTCATCTCTCGGATCATCTCCACCAGTTTGGGCACGGCGGGGTGGTGGTGCTTCTTGGAGACCCTGTTGAGCCACTCGAAGTGGTGCTCGTACAGCTTGAGGTCGGAGTGCAGCTGAGACAGTGTGGGCTTCAGCTGGAAACAACACACACATAGTTCAGACACTTGGCCTGGGCGTGGTGGAGTGTCGCCGCTGCTGCACACAAACACATTATCGGAGCATTACCTCAAGATTCTGGAGGTCGTTGGCTGATCTGTTGCTCATTTCTGGCAGGGACCTGAACCTGTGGGGCTCCACGTCTGAGTCAAAGGCATGTTCCCTCTGAAAGAGAAAACAGATCGGCAATTAGCATCGGTGCAATTTAACTCATCCCGAGACAAGTCACGGAAACATGAGGAAAGAATTAGTGCGGCAGGCACCTCGACGGGCTCAGTGTTTTCTGTGCTTGGAGACAGTAGCTCTCGCTGAGGGGAGTGTGGTCGATCGGGTCAGTGTGAGTTCACCCACATTCAGCCTCCCCAAATGTCAACAATAAGAGCAAAGGACCTGAAGCCACAGGATGTTTTCTGCTGGGAGCCACGAGAACAACATATGCAGTGACTAAGAAAGCTCCAAGTGGGACAGACAACACAGAGCTGTAGGGAAACTCCAGGGTCACCGCTATAAAAAGACAGAATGACGCAGTGCTGCTGCTGCCCAGCTCCAGTTGTGTTGTAAACTACAAGGGGGCGCAGTTCCCCCGGCGGCCAGCAGAGGGGAGTAACAGCACCTGCTGCAGCCCGATGCCATTCTGCTTTATAAGGTCACCACTGGTTTAGTATTAAAGCCACTAATGAATGGAGCTGATTAATGCGTCGCTTCCAGTCAGCAGAGGAACCACATTAGCGCTGATGGATGCGCCGTAATAAACAGGATGTTGTGCTGTTGTGTCGTCGTGCAGCTCGCGTTGATGTGTTCGACGATAAATGTGCCTCATTGTCTCTCAGCTCACTCCTGTTTGTGCTCCTGTGTTTTGTCTTCTTCACTCTCTATATGACTTTGTCTCACACCAGGTGCACACACACACACACACACACACACACACACACACGTGCGCTGTCACGTGCACGCCCCCCCACACACACACACACAGAGCCTGCTTGTCATCCGGCTGCTCTCTGATCTCTTCATCTCTTGCGGTTCCATCTTTCTGGGCCTTTAATTCGGCCTCCTATCCTGGCGTTTCTTGCTGCTGCAGCGTCGTGACCTCACCCTGCTCGGCTCAGCGTCCCGCCGCTTTTCTTCCTCAATGCAAATACTGGAATGTGATAAATCTTTTTTTTTTTTTTTGATTTTTATCAGGTCACTTTGCTGTGGCGACCGAAAGCAAAACACTAAACACCGCACCTATGCTGCCGTGACTATTTACAGAACCCTCAGTGCACACACACACACACACGCAGAACGCCACAAAAATGCATACACACATGCACACATACTGTATGCATGCGAACACACTCACACACACACTCACACACACACTCACACACACACTGGAAAACTTATACATGTGTGTACACAGACGCACACTTCTCTCTCTTTAAAGCTTCATTACTTTTTGCAGGGACTTTCCACGGATTCTATTTATCTTTCCTAACTTTGTCCCCTCTTTAATGGAATTCCACACAAAAAAGGGAAAAAAAATTAAAAATAAATCTTCCGTGTTGCCGAACACCGTCTCATACTGTCCCCCTTTGATAATGCTGCCTTGTTTCACATCTGGATTCCAGGTTACGCCGCGGCCACACAAATCATTGTCTGAACTGCTGAGACTAGAGAGAGTCTGTGGCTATTTTTGATTTCATCCTCTTGAACAAAAGAGTTTAGCCATTTGCATAATGCAAAAATAGAATCTGGATCAGTCATGTGTAACCGGAGATGCGCAGATATGATCCCGCTTTCTTTTCACCTGTTAAAACACACTGTTGATACACAATCACCAGCTGCATCCAAATCTTGGCCAAGTTCTCAAATCTGATTTTCCTGCTCGCTTGACTGTCAACAACAAAATGGGACTTCGAGCCAGACGTGTTGAAATAAACACGTGTGATACATATTTCACACCTCCTGCAGAACATAAACATGTTTCTATGTAAACAGGAGAGTGGTGCGGTGTGCTGTCGCTTCACAGGAGGCTCATCAAACCTTCACTCACTCATTCGCCCTTCTGCTGTTACCTCAAACTCGCTGAGAGTGAAGAAAAGCCGTTTTGGTTCTCTGAGATGTTTCGTCACCTCCAGAGCTGAAGGAGCCTCTCGGATGAAGGTGGAACGTCTCAAAGAACCAAAAACAGACGTACTTGTTCAAAGCGAGGCTCACCGGGAGGCTGCTGAGTCAGAGCCGCTCTCCCTGCTGGATTAAAAGTGAGATCACTCGGTTAAATCCTCCCCGAGGTGTTCGCTGCTCTGATCTGAGCGTGAAACTCTGTCATCAATGAAAGCAGCTTAAAGCAGACGGAAGCTCTGAGGAAACCTGAAGTGTTTCCACAACACGGCGTGATGCAAAGCCAGAGCAACCTGGAGAACCTCAACAACGTTTTCCTCCTTCAAGTAAAAAAGCAACTGGACTTTAGGTTCTTTAAGACCCTGGAAAAGGTTCCACCTCTAGGACCTCTAATAAAAACTTTACTTTTAGGTTCTTAGACAACCCAGTAAAAGTTGTTCTCCTGGGATCACTATGACAAGCGACTGACAACACCAGTGCATGTAGGACCTCCAGTACAAAATCAGCTAGACTTCTCTTTAAGGTTCTTGAAGAACCCAGTAAAAGTTGTTCTATGAGGTGCTTTAGTTTTCACCAAAGAACCTGAACAATCCAATCAAACAAAAACAAAGCTGGAGCACTTCTAGGTTTCCTTCTTCTTGGTGCTTCAGTACAGAAACAAAGAACTTCTCTTTTAAGTGCTTATAGAACCGGGAAAAGTTCCTTCTCCTCTGTGCTTCTATCAACAACAACTGTACCGTGTCTTAAAGTTCTTAAGGAACCTAGAAAACATTCGTCTTGACTGAGAATCTACACAGACAAAGTTAGTGCATCTAGAATCTTCACTAAAAGGCAACTTGAATCCCTTTTAGGTTCTTGAAGAACCTGGAAATCGGTTCTTCTTGACTGAGAATCTACACAGACACAGCTAGTGGACCCATGAGCTTTAGCAAAAACAAGCAACCAGACTTGGAACAGGTTCTTCTCCTTGGAGCTCCAGTAAGAAACCAACCAGACGTCACTTTTAGGTTTTAAGCTCACTTTTAAGTTCTAGAAGAACCTGGAAAAGAACCTGGGAAAGGTTCTTCTTGACAGAGAATCTACAAAGACACAGCTAGTGGACCTACGAGCTTTAAACCAGACTTGGAACAGGTTCTTCTCCTTGGAGCTCCAGTAAGAAAGCAACTGGGCTTCACTTTTAAGTTCTGGAAGAACCTGGAAAAGGTTCTTCTGGACTGAGAATCTACACAGACAAAGTTAGCGCATCTACAATCTTCACTTAACAAGCAACTTGAATCTCTTTTAGGTTCTTGAAGAACCTGGAAAAGGTTCTGTCTGAGAACCCACACAGATCCGGTGACCTTTACCCAAAGTGGCTCCAACATGAGCAGCCGGTGACTCTCCTCCATCCTTCACCACAACCAACAATCATTTATCAATTATCAGCAGCCAATCCGAGCGGGTCACTTACCAGCAGCTCCTGGGTGAGCTTCATCAGGTTCTTGGTCTGATTGGACAGTTTGTCCATGTCAGTGGGCCTGCGCGGCGGCACCGGGGACGCGGACGTGAACACGGGCAGCTGAGCCAATAGCAGCGAGAAGAGCAGCGAGGAGGAGGAGTCGAGCAGCACTGCAAGCAAACACACGGAGGCAATTAGAGGAGGAAGACGTGCCGGTGAGGATGATGAGGACGAAGCCGAGGCCTGTCAGCACATCCTCCCCGGGTCGTGTTGTCACAGGTTCAGCAAATCATCGCGCAGACACCGAATCTGCATCTCGCGGAGCATCAGCGGGCGATGAATGCGGCTGATTGTCACACCTGCAACCCGATAGGTTCGGCATAAATTAGAAGGAGCAGGCCGAGTCAGCTCCAACAGTGCCCTCATTCATCCCCGAGCCTTTCAACTCCGAGCTAGACTTAAGCATTAAAAGGAACCGCAGCCGTGTTGAAATGATGAATGCTTGATAATTACAGGTGAACCACAAGAATCGCAGCCAAAGTAACCGTTGCTGCTGCTGCTGCTGCTGCTGCTGCTGCCTGGAGCTGCAGCTGTAATCCAGCACAAGTCCTGAAAACAACAGAAAAAGAAGAAAAGGGATCAACACTTACATTTCATATTGGATCCAACAGATGAGAGAACCGGCACAAAAATTTAAAAAAATAATAAAAATGAAAAAACACAAAAATAATAATAATGAAAAAAAAAAAAAAAAAAAACAAGCGGAGGAAAATAAATAAATAAATAGGAAAAATAAATTAACTCCGGTGTCTCTTCTTCTTCTTCTTCCTCAGTCAGTCAGTAAGGAGTGAAGAAGGGAAAAAAAAAGTTTGTGTAGAAGTTGAGGAGAAGTCTGTGTGGAGGGCAGAGAGACACTGACACAGAGAGGAGGGATGCCAGTGCGCTAAGTTCCAATTTTTGCGCGCAGTGAAGTGTTTAGGCTTGTTTAAAACTTCCTTTATAAAGACGTCGGGCCTATGACACATCGGCAGTGACTCACTTCATTCATAAAAACACGCACACACACACACGCACGCACACACACACACACACACACACACACTCAGACTCTCTCCTCCCTCCTCCCTCCCTCCCATCCCTCCCTCTCCTCCCCTCCGCTGTCTCTGCCTCTTTGCGAAACTTTAAAAAAAAAAAAAAGAGAAAGAAATGTTCCGTTGTTGTTTTTTCTCTCCTCTATCACTTTCTCCGGCTGCTATCTGCTCTGCAGCCCTCTGCTTTATCTCTGCATCTCGTGCTGCTCGCTGTCACTGCAGCTCTTTGTTTCCACGTGTATCAGCACATCTCCGGTATTTTTTTTTTTTATTTTTTACCTGTAACACCTTTTCTCTCCCGGATTTCTTCGCTTCTGCTCGGGTTTTTTTTTTTTTTTTTTTTAAACGCCGGAGCCCCTCCTGAGACAGCAGCCTGTTATTTCCACTGCCTCCCTCCTCACCTTCTCTTTTTTTTTTTTTCTCCTCCTCCTCCTTCTCCAGGGTGAAGGAAAGAGTGAGGAGCAGCAGCAGAGAGGTGTTGTCCACAACCAGAAGGGGCCTCAGAAAGTGTTGCATAGGAACAGAGGCTGCATTAAAAAAAAAAAGAAGGTGGACGGGGGTCAATGTATGGCACAGAAACACACACATGTGGAGGCTGGAAACACTCAGTCAGGTGCAGTAAAGCGTGACCTCGTGTTGCGAGGAGAAAAACTAAGAGTTTCAGGTCAGATGCATCAGAGGAAGCAGGAGTCTGGGTGTGAGATTAGGAGACCCTCATTCACAGACATACACTCATGGTGTGGTTTGAAAATAATTAGTGGCGGGCTCGGCGTGCCTCGGATACACAACGCCGGTCCACAGACAAACAAACACCCTGCAAAACGGAGCAGCGAGTGGGTGGCGGGGCTGTTGTGGCGGCGCTGAGGGTCATGCTCTGTTTTGTCGGGTCAACGGCGGAGAAGAAAAGCAGGAGGAGGAGGAACTAGATGAGTGCGGTTGGACGGAGGGAGATATTGACACACTCGCTCTTTTTAATTTCCCACATCAAAGCCACGTTTGAAGACACAGCTGGGAGAGAGAAGAAAAGAAAGAGTGAAGTTAGTCACTCTCCCTCATTCCCTCATGATGGGGGTCTCCTGGGTGGTTCTGAGGCTCTCACACAAGCAAACGGTTCCTAAACGGTTCTTCAAAGGGCCCGTCAGCCAGCTGAGGAACCTCTTTATTCCTCGGATGAGTCTTCATGTGGTTCTTTGAAAAAGGTTCCTCAGCTTTCGGCGGAGTCGCTCGGTTTTGGTGGCAGGTAGCAGCAGGAAGTCAGACTGTGTTTGAGTTCAGCCGATCTGTTGTTCCGCCTCAGCCAGAACCCAAAGTGTTAAAAGTGTTCTGCTCACAGTTCAAACATAAACCTTAGCTGCTCCCTGGCTGTCAGATCTTAATTATTAGTTTGCGTGCCCACGTTTGAGTCTTTAGGGAAGGTTTTAAGGTTCTACGTTCCTCCTCGCGGTACCTGTGTTCCTCTCTCAGTAACTGGAAGCAGTAAAAAGAAATAAATATTAGATTTATGTGCTTGTTTTTCAACCTGCACCCGATAACTTTGATTTAAAAGCTCAAAGAACCGTTTGTTTTCCTGCTTCTTTAACGAACCAGGTGAGACTGATTAGAAAATGGTTCCTTAAAGAACCTGGTTTTGCTTTAAAAAAAAACATTTATGTTGCTTAAAGGAACCTTTTTTTTGAGGGTTTCATGAGGTGCTTTTGGAGAGTTTGCAAAAATTGTTTGTTAAAAAATCCCTGTCTTCCCAAAAGGTTCTTTGTGGAACTAAAAATGGTTCTTCAGAAGGCTCTCCAGTTCTTCATTAGAAGCTATAGAACCTGTTCATTGAAAGGTTCTTCGTTGGTGCCATTTACGGTGCCTAAAGGAACCTTTTTCTTGACGGTTTCATGAGGTGGTTTGTGGAGAGTTTCCAAAAATGGTTCTTCAGAAGGTTCTCCGGTTCTCCATCAGCAGTTAAGGAACCTCTTTATTAAAAGGTTTTCATTTCAGTCGTTTGGTTTTGGTGGAAACTGCTTTATTACGGGAAAAAAAAGGTGCCATTTAAGGTGCCTAAAGGAACCATTTCTGGAGGTTCTTTGAGGCACCATTGGTGAGTTCCGTAAACAAGTCTTTGCAGAAATGGTTTGTTTAAAGAAAACAAACCCTCTTCCTAAAAGGTTCTTTGTGGAACTCAGAATGGTTCTTCAGAAGGTTCTCTGGTTCTTCATCAGCAACTGAAGAACCTGTTGTTCATTGAAAGGTTCTTTGTTGGCGCCATTTATGGTGCCTGAAGGGAGCTTTTTTTTTTTTTTGACAGTTTCATGAAGCGCTTTTGGAGAGTTTCTAAAAATGATTCTTCAGCAGTTAAGGAGCCTTTTTATTTCAGTGGTTCTACTTAAGTTCTCCTTAAGGTGCCTACAGGAACCATTTCTGGTGGTTCTTTGAGGCACCTTTGGCGAGGTCCGTAAACAAGTCTTTGCAGAAATGGTTTGTTAAAGAACCTCCCGCTAAAGGAACTGTTGGAAACACCCAAATGAAGGGAGTGAAACTAAAGATGCTTCAGTTTACGGACAAACAACTTGAAGTTTCCAACTTTTTCCAGCATAATTATTCGTTTTATCCGAAATGCGAAACATGAATTTAGACTTTGCTGTTTCTTTTCTTTATGCTGTTGTTCTACTCGGTGGAACGTGGACGTTGCGGCGTCAGACCACTGAAGCTAATTTTTGCTGAAAGTCGTTTAAAACCAGACAAACTAAATTAATTTGCACTTCAACTGGAGCTACAAACGGTTCTGTTGTTTGCTTCCTTTAAAGCTTCTGTAGGAATGAAAACAACACAAACACATCTGGTGGAAATTTACAGCAACTTTTGCCAACGTATTGTTCACAATAACACTGAAATAAGGGGAATCGATGGAGCAGCTGCTAACACACGAGTGAGTTGAGTTTATCCAGATGAAGCCGGTGATAGCGACGCCACCGACTGTCAGACGGACGGTTTGCATCGCAGACGTTTAAAGGTGCTAACAGGAACCAAAGATCGGCACCTTTCCTCGCTGCTGAACCCGATCAGTCACGCCATGATGCAGGCTGGTGCCCTTTAAGTGAGCGCGTGCACGTGTAATAAGGGCCGTGCATCTTTGTTTAGACTGTTGTTTGGTGTGTGTGGGAGCGAACGCGGCTCTGGAAAAGGGGGAATCCAGGGTTTGTGTAAATGGGTGTGCGTACAGTACATGTGTGTAATTATGGCTATGCGGTGGTAGCAGTGCGGTGTCTGCGCGGCGTGCGCGTGCATCGGTGTTTGCGTGTGCGTCCGTGCGTGTGCGAGCTTGTGTGTGGCCTTCATATGCTACCCATTACATCACCAATCTGTGTAAACCACCATAGGAGGAGAAGCCGAGTGAGACGCTCAGACTGCGACCTCAAAGACATCAGAGGAAGGGGAACCTGTGACAGAGCTGCCAGCCGGCCGAGCTGCCAGACAAACTTTACTCACACAGGCTTCGCTCCACTCGCTCATGCTTCACACTGGCTTTCCTGTGCGCCACGGCATGTATTCACACATTATTACGCAGGACTCACATCACTTGAATGCCTCACTCTCTGCTGCCGGGTTGTTAATCCGCACGGCTCCTCGATTCAGCCAAAGAAAAAAAAAAAAACTCAGATTAGAAAAAACACACACAAAAAAAACAAAACACAGGGCAAAAAAAAAACAAAAAAAAAAAAAAAAATGAGAAATCTAAGGAAAACAAACAAAAAAAACAAAAAAACTACAAAGACAAAGAGACCAAAAGTGCTTAAAGCAGGCATTGAAACACGATTTAAGGTAATTACTCATAAAAAATGAAGTTGCTCCAACTAGTTTTTATTTTGTTGTTTAAAAGGAACATCTGAGTCCTTCATACCTCATCACATTTACACTGTAAAACATGTATTGGATCTGTAGGTGAAGGAAAGTAGTGCAGCTTTCTGCTTTTATGGATTTTATGAACTTAAAATTACATTTTTGCCCCTTTAAAATATTTTAAAATCAGTTTTTCTGTAGTTACACAAAAGGAACATTTGAGTCCGTCACACCTCATCAGACTTACACTGTAAAACATGTGTGAGCTGTAGGTGAAGTAAAGTGCTGCAGCTTCCTGCTTTGGGGGATTTTATTAACTTAAAACTACATTTTTGTCCCATTAAAATATTTTAGATTCAGCGAAAGTGTGAAAATGAGGTTTCCTGCTCCTTTAACTGTGCGTCTGACGTCACGAGTCAAGTTTTATGTTTCATGTTCAGGTAAAGCGAAAAATTGGAAACTTCAAGCCGACGTAAACATAAAATAAAGTTTCAGCAATGAGAGGAATCAAATGCATCTAACTGAAAAAAAGTGGCTTTAAATCTACTTTAAATCTTAATTAAATGCATGTTACTAATTGAAGTCGGTCCAACAATCTGTTTGAAACACAAGTTGACAAAATGAAGTTGTTCGTCAACTTTTATTTTTTAACTTTGGTTTTGTTTCGAGCGGATTTCTCGAACGAAACTTTGATTCTCATCCGCTAGTTTTCTAAAACCGAAGGGTTGAATTGTAGCGCTAACTATAGCTAGCGTTATGTGATCGAATACGTGACCAAGTGTAGAACAAACTCGAGTCGAGTCGT